TGCCAGAGGCCAGTGCTTGCCTGCAGGGCTGGCAATCCTGCAAGTCTCCTTCCCTGACCTGTTGGCAATTAGAGGCAGTGGAGTATTATCTGCAGCCAGCTGGGACAGCCATCAAAAGGACTGCTGTAGTCTCTCTAGCACTTGTTACCATGACAGACAGCTGATGAATAGAGGCAGGACAAAGGACAGTGCTATCAAATTCCTTAATTGATGAATGACTGCTGATATCACGGAAAACAGGAACCCTCCAGCTTCTGCATGTTGTCTGACAACTCTGCACTCACCCAGCCCTGGCTTAGTCTTGGCTGTTCCCCCACCTACTCCACCCATAGCTGAAAAGTTTTATGCAGTTTTATAACCTAATCCCACTAATGTATGAGTCAGGGTGTCGCGTATTAAAGAAAAGGTGTGTGGTCATACAGACAATATAGGCACAAGAGAATGGTAAGGTGGCGCTGAGAACAAGACAGGAATAGTTACAAAGCTATTGGGCTGTGTAAACATGGAGGTAGTTGCTCCTTCCCAAACCAAATTCAACTTAAATAATCAAATAACTCAGTAGAAGTAATGAGGTCTGAAATGATCAATGACAATTGTGTTTTGCACTTTCCCAGGACGATCTAGTTCTAAGAAAGGCTAACAGCACTTTAAACTGTAACTTATTTAAGCGTTGAGTTATAAAACTGGAAACCAGGACACTGCTACCCTTTCTATTTCAGGCAAGTTAACCAATGAATGAGAAAGTAACAGGTTTCTTGACTGAATGCCTACCAAAAAAAAGCCAACTGTAACCCAGAACATTTACTGTTAAAATTATGAGCCCATGAAAATCCAAGTTTATAAGAACAAAGTTGTTTACAGACTCGAATAACAGCATCCATCATTTTAATGCTGCAACTCCAAATTAAGACAGTGCAGATGGGCATAATTTTCCATTCTTAATATGAGACACAACACCATGTGTCTTTAATATAAATGCAACATATACATTCAGCTAGAATGTTGGTTTATTCTTACATTTCATATTCAAACCTAAGTCATTATCAAAGAAAAAGTGAGTGAATACAAATGCAGTCAAGATGACGATGATACAAAAATTGGTCATTTGACATAATCTAACTTCTTATTTGTAGGATCTAAAAAGAATGAAATGTTTTCTTTATTAATGGTTCCAGTTAATCCTGTATCCAAACATTTTCCCCAATAAACATCAGATTATTTTTATGTTGGCTATAAAGCTGTCACTCCTCAATAAACAGATATGCTCCTGGTGGGTTTACCTCTGCTGTCAAAGATATGTCAATTCATGCATCATCTCATAAGCGAAACCAGAGAAGCTCGGACGCATGGCTCATAGTGAATCCAGCTGCGCAGGGGTTGCTCACCACCTGAGAGGACTCTTGCCGCCGCAGCCCCCGTGCAATTGGCAGCGACTGGATGCTCCCAACACAAGTTCGCAAAAGCCCTGAAGTTAATACTCTTGCCTCCCTTTAATAGAAAGCTATGTGACCTTTAATGCTCTGCTTGACTGAGCCTTCCTTTAGTGAGTCTCAATTAAATTTTATGTTTTGTGGCTCCCATTTTCTTGTAAGACAAGAAAAGAGTTCAAGGGATGGATTCTTCTTTGAAGAATTTAATTCCCTGCGGAGAAAATTTTCCATCTAAAGAGCCGCTCAAAGTTTGGGGGAAGAGAGCTTTTGTGGGGCTTTTTTTTCTGTGGTTTTTTTTTTTTTGTTGTTGTTGTTAAGAAATTTCTAGTATTTTGTGAAGATAAAGGAGTCTTCAGATTCTTTGAAAAAGACAGTGTTCTGTTAGTGGTTAGACTGGAAATATTTCCTCTGTTCTTTTCATTATAATGAGGAGAAAATCAGAGGGATGGTTAAAGTAATCCTGGCCATTATTTGTCATGAAGGAGCTTTCCATGAAATCATCAGATTGTTACTGTGATACTGTAGTAACATAATACTGGTTAATTTTCAGTAAGAGGCATTGCAGTAAATGAAACATTTGCATATGTATTCATGAAAATAAGTACTTCCTAGGCTGATTCTGCATAGTTAACCTCAACGTAACAAAGTCAAAAAATTAAGCCATTAGGAAGTGTCTTGTCTGAACTGGGCTCTGACATTCTAGCTCCATAGTTGCCACTAGTGAAAATATCAGTACAAATGAGCATAAGCACTATTCCCAAATGAAAACAAACATTTTCAGGAGCAGGCTATTAGTAACATTTCTTTTCCCACTATGATCCTTTATTTAATTTATTTTGTAGTCAACTTAACACAAAATCACATATGTCAGTAGGGAATTCTGAGTGCTGGTGAGAAGCCTAGACTCTTTATAGTCAGTGTATACTGAATTACATATTTCAGAAAATCAGTCTAAAAATGCTACACACCAACACGGGTATTTCTTATTGCCCATATGAAATAAACATGGGTCATGAATGAATTTCTTATAACCTTCTCCCAGATTGACACACCTGAATCTGAACACCTCATAAATTGTTTTCGTTTGCTTAGTATCTAAACGTGAAGCCCTTGGTGCTCTCTTCTGCATCTTTTTGTGGTCACCCAAGGAGGGGGTTATCAGGATTCAAGGTTTCCACTAAAATACTTCACAGTCACCTCTCTCACTTCCCTCACAAGTGTCATAATCACCATATTCCAGAAACGGGACAACTTGTGCAGATGGGAATGCAAGACTCATGGAGTCAAACAGGTTTTTCAGGATTAGTTGATTACATTTTTTTCAGCCAAAATTTAAGATTATATTGTATCTGAGATTATTCATCTCCTTTTTTCCTGCTGCTTACTACTGATGACTGTTTAAATGTGACCTTCTGCCTCTGTCTAACTTCCTGGAGAAAAATAGGTATTCACAGAATATGCTTTTTGTTTACATCAGTATTGACTGCTTTTGCAACAGAAAGTAAAACTCTGTATTAGTTCTAGCCAAACAGGAATTTGGTGTAGTCCACTGCTAAATTGTAATTTAAATCTATAATAATTCAATGTAATCATCTTCTTTTCCTGCTCAAGAGTCATGCCTTGATATAAATATAAAAAAATACTCTGGTTTGGTTCCAGTACTGCGGCACAAGCATTCTACAGAAAAAAACCCCAAACAACCCAACAATCTTCATCTCTCCCTTCTGCAGTTCATTCACAGATGACTATTGTGCTCAGACCCTTCATCGTTTCTCCACAAACAGTTTATAGGTGTTAGGCAGCACACTGCCTGAATGCTGGGAAAATAATAATGGAGTCAAATCCATAGAATAAATGATAGCTATGTCTCTGAGAAGGACTTGAAAATCACAACATGTAAAACAACTGAAACAGAGAATATTTGTTTCCTTATTTCCCTCCTCCAAATAACAATAAATAGTAAGGGAACTGTATTCTGTATGGTACTTCGAAGTTTGCAGTGTCCTGCTACTATTTTATACACATGGGTTGTACAAATATCCAGTTACACAATATAATCATATAGGCAATAAAATAAGATCATAAAATCAATTAACTTGGAAGCTGTCTCTTGATTTAGACTCGTTCTGCAGATATGTCTACCCATTCTTAATTTTACATTTTGTGAATAGTTCAACAAAATAAAAATACCAGTGCGTTTGGATGAGATAAATAGCATTTTCATGCTCACTCATGTAAGTATTGAAAATAGTTCTGTATTTAAAAATAGCTTGACATGATTGTAAATATTAATACTTTCCTATTGTGAAAACGTAGTTTTCTTTTGAGAAGCAATAAAAATTAACATATACACAGCTTAGAAAACCCCAGAAGCCCCAGATTATCATTTTTGTGAAATATTTTTAGCTTTTAAGCTTTTTAATGCCTTGCAGTGATAATGCACAACATTAGTCTTTAATCAAAAATGAATTTACCACTGATAAGGGCAAATCTAACAACTTCCTCTCTGAACACCTTAATGAAACTTCTCTACATCTCCCTACTTTAGCATTTCAAACCACCCAGTTCTATATCTATGTACTTACATTGTGTAACTTAGCTAAACCTGACTGCAAGAAACAAAACTTGCAGTGTCTAGTTCTTAATTTTCACCGCTCATCTCACCTCTGTTTTTCCAGTACAGTTTGTGGACACAAGAGGTCCGCACCTCATTGCACCTATACTGCCTCCATACATGGTATCTATGCTACTATATATAAGAACAGTTCCATTTTGATGAATATATGGACAAAAAATGGGTTGCTATTGTATTTACAAAGTTCTTATGGAAAGCTTGCTAGCTACTCAAAACTGGGATTTACTGATTAGAGTTACCGTGATTAAAGGCCAGTTCCCGAAGAGCTCCTGTGGATAACAGGCTTAACTTTAAGCATATGATCAGTCCCATTACATTCACTGGCTTTAACTGGACTGCTCATAAAATTAAGCATGTATTTAAATGCCTTTCTGGATCTGGAAGTCCCTTAGAGGAGCTCAGGCTCAGAGCAGTGGTACCTTCTGAAGATAGTACGATTCAGGTGAGTAAGGACCATAAATCCTTTTCCATATTCTGTCAAACTGAAAAGCCGTGGAATTTTGCTCATACAGGTCCTGGGAACACTGTCTATTGCAGCTAACTGGGAATGCCTGTTCATCAGAGCTCGGAAACAGGTACCTCACTGAACCGGTCATGGCTCAGGCTGAGCTAGTTCAGAAAACCAGGACAAGAATATACAAGAGCCTAGATACTGCACTACACTGATGCTGCCAGTACTGAAGCAGTGTTTGCCCTGGTGTCCCTACACAGCTGCACATTCTGGTCTTTAAACTTAACCTAATAGCAAAATTTGGTATTGTGAGGGTAAGTAATGCTAAGACGTTTCAAATTGTGCTCGTTATATAACACTACATGTTTGCCAAATTCTGGCAACTGCAAAAAAGGGTGGAATATAAAGAGGATCTAATGTCTGGAAAATGGGTGATTAAAAAAGGTCACATAAAATTGACAATTTTAAAAACATATACTCTTACCCTTCTCGTTGGAAAATAGTCCTAAAACAGTCCCCCAGGCTCTTGTAACCAGTCGGATCAGTTTTCCCTCTTTGAATTTGGAACCTAAAAAAAATATAATTTACATCACAGCATGAGAAGTCAGGGATTTTAAGTCACTTTTAACTTTCCAATTATTATATAAAAGGAGTTTTAAAGGAGTTTTTTACATATCTGATTCATTATTATATACTGTTCCTAATATACTTATTAACACTGTTTTCATAGAAGCTGTTAAACTAAGGAAAAATAGAGTAACTTTTTCTGTAGTTTATGGAACTCACAGTATAGCTATCACCTTTGACATTTACACCTCTTTCTAGTTGTTTGAAAAATAAGCTGTTAACCCTGTGCTTGATCCAAAGCCCATTGAGACTAATGGGAGTCTTTGAGTCAAACCCTATTTTTGAAAATCTGAAATGGAATACTATCATGTGTTTCACGATGAAATTAATCCACTGTGCAGTTTCTTTTTATATCTGACACAATTACAATAAAAATCAACCAGAGACATGACCAGAAATTACAGCACCATTCATTTTTCATAATTTAATAATAAGACGTACAACAAAAGCAAGTAATTAATTATTTTAATTAAAACCTTGTTTTGTCTATTCACTTTTTGACAACAATAAAGATTTCAACAGGAAGCTTGTGGCCTTGAAAGGAAAATCAAGATTACGATTTAATATTGTAAACATCTCATTATTTATGTTTTATGGATAGCAACAGTGAGTTTAAGAAACTATATTATTTTACTAAGTATCATGTCAGTTAGATTACCATATTTCTTGCTGTTTTAAAACTGCAGCCAACACATTCAACTAAATAGTATGGAGAAATTTTGAATACATTTTTAGCAATAAAACTTCTTTTCAAACTGCTAATTTCTACATAGCACTAAAAAAAAAGTAATCGATGTTATCAATTCCAGTTTACCATAGCCCCATACCAGGCAATCACTAAATTGGCTTTATCACTAAATAAAATAATAATTCTACACAACAAATCGTGTTCAACTCTTTCAAGGAATAACTGACACTGTAGTCAAGTATGTCATATGCCACAGGTATGTTGCTGTTCTCAGAAACATCTATTGTAACTTATTCTAATAGTGATACTGAATGTCATGAATATGTAACAAACAAATGTATTTTTAACTCATTGTTAAACAGCAATGTTCTTCCTTTCGACAATATTCAACAGGGTCAAATCAAGGTTTCTATTGTGGCAAAAGGTATTGTTTTGAATATCAGTTATTTCCTAAGCTGTGTTCTGTGCTAGCACATCTAACATTTTATTCACTTTGAGGAGAAAATTTCCACTGATGTAACACAATTCTTCGGGCAATTATGAAGGCAAGCCTACACCTTTTTTGAGAACAGTTAGAAGGAAACACTGAGCCCCTCCATAGTCCTAATAAAAGCAGTTCAGGCACATCTGGGATCTCTATCTGGGGTAACCTCTTTTATTAGCATGAGAACTTGCTGCCAAGTTGGCAGAGAGGAAAATGCTATTCAATAGGTTTACACTCAAATAAGAGCTGATGCATAACATTTTGTCTGAAAAGAACCCTTGGGAAGGCTAAGAGTTAAAAAAATGCCTCAATGCCATCACACAAAGTCCAAGTAATATCAGCCACAGAAGATTTTACATTGTGGCAAAATTATAACAGAAAATAGGCACATTTTAATATATTTAAGACTTGATTATTTATAACTCTCAGTTCAAAACCAAAAATGGCTTTCTTTTGCTTAAAGAAATCTAGCAAAACCTCACCAGTAAATAACTTTTCCCAAATATTTAAAAAATAACGATTTCTTAACCCAAACTCTTTTCCTCAAGTTTCAAGATTTGGCCCACTTGTAAACCCAGAACAAAGCATCACTGTTACTAAAACAAGCTCTGAATACTGTGCCTTCCCCCTGTTTCACCCTGCAAATGCTCAAGCATGTCCTACTAGCATGTGTGTAAGGTTACCCACTAAGTTGTGCATGTACAACTGTTTGTAGAACTGGGGATTTAATGCCAGACTCGCTGTGGATCTCAACAACATGGTGAGCATACTTATACAATTGTGTTTCACAGTTAACACAGTGTTATAATACGTATTTGATAGCAATAATGAAAATCATAGCAGAAGAAATGCAATAATACCATATGCAATTTATCTGTAGCAGATGAAGTATAACTTCTTGCTAAAGAAGTTAAATCAAAGAAGGTTTACATTTATTTCAGTTTTTTGTTTTAATGTAGATAAGACCTTAGTATTAAATGAGTCCATTTGTAACACAAATAACATATTCCTTCCTTTAGAGTTTTTGGATCCATTCCTTCCCTAGTAAATCTTTTTTATAGCTTTAACAGCAATCCTAAAATACATGCCAATTATGTGCTTCAACCTAGATCTGCGAATTGGGTTCTTTGATTCAGAATTGCTTGCCTCAATAAAATCATGTGTAACTTTTTAATGAACTAGCTAATTGATCACCAGCACTTGTTATAAGAAGCTCAGGGAAGAGCTGAAAAAATGTTTGTTTTTCTGGAGGCGGTAGCAGCAGCAGCAGCAGCCTGTATTAGTAATCTTAATAATACAGAAGAGTGAAAGCATTCACTTCAAAAAACAACCTGGCCTGTTTTTAATGATTGTTTAGAGGAATGAACACAACTGGGGGATACATAATGGCTTGCTCTGCTTCAAATCTATTCCTTTCTAAAAGCATTCTAAAACCACTGAATTTCATGCATTTTTGAAAGCTGGATGCCTGCCTTGTATGTTATTAGCTTTGCTAGAACAAAAAGATAAATTCTCCTATAAATATAATCAGAGCATTAACTTCTGATCCAATTTATTATTTTGAATTTTGAAAAGAAGAATGTGCAGGCAGTGTTTGGAGACACGCTGAACGGACATACTGGCACACAGGCTTTTCCAGGACTGGGGTGAATGACCTGCTACTCACTACTAGCATACAACAAGCACCTGAAGTCACTGGACACTCCAACTTGTTATGTGTTTACCGAGAGCTTTATCACTCTGAAAACGATCACTAGGCTAACTTTCCTCCTCTCACATTTTCCTGCTTCTTTGCTTTCTGGACAAAATGCTGTGGTACTGAGCACTCCCACCCTGGGAATGCTCACGGAGCAGTGGGAGGTACTTTGGCACCCAGGTTACCTCTTCCCACCCGGGACTGCCCCTGGCACCTACTGCCTGCCCTCTCGGCTCCTCCTCGCAGTTCTCACCTCCAGCTCCCACGACACAGGGGATCTCATAACCTCCCTTTCTGGCTTGTAGCAGCAGCCCACAGGGCTTGGTCTTTTATGCCCCCTTTGACTGAACAGTACCTTTGCAGTAGCTTTGTTTGATACAAAAGTGTCCTGACACTGTTTAAGAAGAGAACATCAGTGGCCTTCCCTGTTCACCCCAGAAGACACATTGTTAGGATCTCGAAAAGTGGAAACCATGTAAAACCATTTGAGGTTCTGGGGTCTGTTCGAAAGGCAGTATCTTCATTGAAAACTTTGCATGTGATCTAAAACCATGAAAATAGTTTAACTTATCCACAACTACTATTTGTGAAATGAATAAACCTATTCTTATCTTGATACGAAGACAGAGAGCATTTTTTATGGTTATAACAGTCCTTGATCAATAACTCTCAATTGGCTCACCCTGAAATCCCACAATGCAGAAGATGCTTGAGTCCTTTCATCAGTTCTCTGAACCACTTCCCATTTAAGAAGTGATATACCATATTGTGGAGCAATGACTACGTAAACACACGTACCTGTTTCCAATGCCCAATTTACAGTTCTTGTTAGTTTTATAATAGCCAGTATTTTATTCCAAATTTTATAAAACCCTCAGTCCACAGGATGCTTTCCTGCCCCCCTTCCTATTGCAAAAGTTCTCTAAGTAGTCTTTTCTAACACAATCAATAACTATAGGAGAACAAGCAGATGTGTGTGCTTTCTGAAAAAAAAAATATTTTTTTTCTCTCTCCCTCTATCAGTTGCTAAATTTTTTGTGCATGCTTGCTGAACATCTCATCAAAGTTATCTTGTGGATGTCTGCCACTACAGTATCCAGGTATTTAGTGTTCAAAGTCTGTTCACCACAATGTTACCTAGCAACCCTCCCCCTTTTATTTACTGATCTGGGCCAGAGAAAGATTTCCAATTCATGCTGAAATTGTTTTAGTCATCTTAAAATCTAAAAATTGAAGTAGAGAGTGAGCAGTTAAATCCCAGCTATGTAGGACAACCGCAACGTGATGTGGAGCAGACTAGACTCACCAAATCCTTGCCACTGGGTTTGCAAAGCCTATACCCTCATGTGTAAATTCCAGAATGCCTTGTTGCTTTTATGCAGTGCTGCTGACTAGTTCCTCAACCACAAAGTTCAGAGGGAAAGAAAAACACTGACTCAGAGAACCAGGCTTTATACCATGTTGCAGTACTTGCCAACGAGCGGCAGTCTTAGCTGTATTTTCCTTCTCTTCACATGTCTAACTAGGAATGTTATCATATGTTCTACTCTATTTTGAATAAAGCTCCTAACATTTCCCTCCATGATTGGGACTTACGCAGTACCAAAGCAAATAACCTCAGGTACTCAGGTGTTTAGATGTTATAAATAAAAGAAGAGAGTTATGTGGCATAATAACAAAACAAATTAAATTATCTGTGCAATGTTAAATTTAAAGCAACTTTTAAATAAATGTACAGCCTTTGGAAAACTGAAAACATTTATAGCTTTTTTGCACTTTCAATAATTCCCATGATTCCAGACACTCCTAGCTGTAGTCACCCCTACCAGCATAAGTCGATAAAAAATGTATAGTCTGAAGCTTTATATAAATACACATTATTTAACAGTTCACATGCTTATAATAAAAAATAACTGCATTATAATTTAAAAAGATTTTGATTTGCTAACTTAAACATTTATTCAGGTGTTACTACTAGTTAGTGCTATCTGCTGATGCTTAGGTTTCATGCAAAACTTTGCACTGCAAAATGGACCTTCAGAATATAATTTATTTCACTTCTTGGCTCAAGTT